CTCTCTCTTTCTCCCCCTCTCTCCCTCTCTCCCCCCTCTCTTCCCCCTCTCTCTCTCCCTCACCTGTAGCGAGTTCACGTTCCCCTCAACACTTTGATCCTTGCTGACCTCTTGACCTCTTCCACTAGCGCCGTCCTTATCATTCGTATCGCCATCTTCTCCTTCCACGCTTTCATCGACAGATGACGACGATGGCGTGGACGTTGATGATGATGAAGAAAAAGTCGCCGATGTGGCGCCATGCCTCACTTCGCCATGACCGTAGTGCTGTGCCGCACCAAAACCCAGTTGTGGCGTCACACAGTCCAGTTGTGACGTCACAATGGCTGCCAGAAGTAGCGTCGTCATCATTTTCGCTGACGTCATCATGTCCATCCTCTTACAGGCAGGAGCTGCTAACGGCACGACGAAGAAGAAGAAGAAAAAGCGGGAAAATTTAGAAAAAGAAGAAGCGGGAAAAGCAGACAAAAAGCAGAAGGAAGAAGAAGAAGAAGAAGAAGGAAAAGAAGAAAAAAAAACGTAGAAGAGACCTCAAGCTAACCACTCTTGTGACGTCAGTTGAGTGGGTGACCCCAATTCGCGAACGATCGTTCACCCCCAAAAGACACGCAAACCACAGCACCACTGCACAGCACTTCAGCCACCACGTCACAGTAGACCTTATGACAGCAGTTTTACAGTCCCAGAGTCAATATTGACCCCTTGTCCACCTCACATCCTGTGTGCCTGCCTGTGTGTTCGTCCTGAATGATGAAAATAGAAAGAAGGAGAAAAAAATACGTGATTACGTTAAAACGAACGATGGAATGAATTTTGTCCTCCTCTAGGAAGGTTTACTTGGGGAAAAAAAGGGGAGATGTCTCTCTATATATCTCGTGTTGACTTTGTCGCTAACACTAGTTTTTATTTAGATGCGTTAGGCGTGTGGTTTTTATGCATAAGCCTGTATACATTCATAATATGTGAGGCAGCGTGGTGGAATCAGGCTCTCGTCAAAATAGCCAAAGTGAAGAAACTTGAATTTTTCCACAGGTTTGTGAATTTGTATTTACATGTATTTTTTTTATTTTTTGGCTCAAAACCTTTTAATGCCCTTTAAAGAAATCATTTCTGTGTGGATTTTTCTGAAAAACGTGGATTAAAGGCATACAAAAATGTAAATTTTCAGTTACCACGGACTCTTAAGCGAAGGAAATAACTTATCTTTGGTGGCCATTTTCTCACCAATTTTACCTCTGAAAACAGGTGACCCCATCTCCTTCATTCACAAATATTTCGGCTTGTATTCAAGATAAATGAATATTTTTGTCATCCAAATAAAGACAAATGAACAAGCTTTAAGATGGTACCAATAACTCTACATGCCCAAAAATTGACGAGAGCCTGATTCCACCACGCTGCCTCACATATGGACTCTCTCTCTCTCTCTCTCTCACTCTCTCTCTCTCTCTCTCTCTCTCTCTCTCTCTCTCTTTCTCTCTCTTTTCTCAGTCGCGTCGGTGGCCAAGTGGTTAGGCTACTGGGCTGTAACCGTTATAATGGGGTGTCCACTATGGCTTTGTCGGGCCGATCGCCCGACTCGGTCGCCTGATACTGATACTGAAAACAAACACGTTAATTGTTTTTGAGGCAACCGAGTCGGGCGGCCGATTCATCCTTAGTGGGCACCACGTATTAGATTGCGGGCTCAGGGGTTCGAGCCTCAGCTCGGCCCGAAGTTATGTCTTTTGGAAAGACATACTTTACGTGAATGTTCCTTTTGGCTCAGTCCTTTCGGAGATGGACGTTAATCCAGGAGGTCCCCAGGCGTTGAAAAAAGATCAGAGTGAGCGTACTCAATAAGTGAACTCTGAAATTGTCTCAGTACTTTCCAGTTCTGCCTGGTGGGTTTATTGATTTGTTGTCATATTATAACTCCAAAAAACGCATACACAGATTTAGATTAAAAAATTAAATGCACTCAGAGGTAAAGAAAGGATCCTAACCCCCACCCCCACAGCAGACACGCGGGGAAATACGCAGTCACAGATACACACACACACACACA